CCTTACTGAGAGCCCCAACTGCACTAGCAATGATGACAATGACGCGTATTCTAGTGTTTTGCCGCCGGTGCATTCCCAATCTATATGTGACCACTATGTCCGCATATTTTAGATGTAAATATATTGGATTTTGCTTGATTTTTCCACATTCAACTTATTTTTCTAATAGTATGGTAATACTTTGCCAATCGAACGCTAACGAGTACAGATTATTACTTTATCATTACGTACAATAGACTTGTCTACGTATCAACTGTTTTCGAAGGTCACGAATAGGTATGTGTGTTTAGTCGAAAGCCAATAGGATAGCGCGGTAACTGTTCTCAATCATTAATGTCTCGTTAACTGGGGTGCTTTTTGTGCACACTTTTTACATGCCCTACGTTGTGGTACTATGGCGAGATGCACTTTACAGTGCCTCCAGATGTTACCTTTCACATATTCCGGAATACTGATCAGAAATAATGTATAGAAGATGCTCTGACGTTTATTAACAGCATTGGTAACGTTAAAAAAGGATTTAAACATGAGGGTATTTTTTACTGTTCTGTATCTATCCTAGCTAGCTGTTTTCCTACTATGGTGATTCCGCTAAAGAAAATATGTAAAGCCAAAATATTGAAAATTCACAGGCTAAATGTAGGAAAACATCCGAATATTTGACTTCAGATATATCAAAAGGAAAGGTCAGAAAACATTTACATAATGTCAACAAAAAGTTCAGTTAAAGTTGAACAAGTATGAATATATTTATTGACAGAAACAGAATACGTATACCTACACACAAAAAGAACAAATATCTGATGTTGTTCATTTTAAAGGATCATTTCAAACAGGAAAACTATTTAAATTAAATTCTTACTGACAGGTAGGTAGGTCGAAACATTTGGCACAGCATTTAATAGAAAATTCTAAATTATTGCTAATAGTGGCGTGTAGTTTATACCATTTATTAAATTAGGAATGCTTCATGAGTAGTACAGAAAAGTGAAAAGAGATAACCGAATAATAGTAAGCGGTGCAGCGGTTAAAGGCTGTTTAGGTATTCAAAAGAACAGGGTCGGGTTTATAACTGCCTTGGAATTATGTCTTTAAACAAAAATTTACTTTGCTTCCCTAAATTCCTGATAATGTTGAACTTTCTTTGAAGCTTAAGTTCTGCTTGTCTGTATCTCTTTCTGATACTTATTAATTGATTTAATTCTTTTTTCTTTATTGGTGGCCGCTGCAATTCCTACCTGACATCTCTTTTCTATGCTTATGATATTCCCTACAGCCTACAACGTCCTGTGATGAGTAAAAGAAGGCGTTCTCTCAGTAATCGCTCTAGCCTAGTTAGTAAGTCGAAAGAGGAAAGTAAATGCAACAGTTTTATTGTGAACTATGTCAATTTTTAACTCATCAGATTTCAAAAGTTTTACGAAAATCCATAACGTTGTCTCAAGACAGCAGATAGAGTTGATGTGTGTTCTATCGAAACTGTTTGCGATGAACCGATGAGATCCAACAAAATCGAAATCGCGATCTGCGTTTGGCAGTTTCGACAGAATACTGGCCCCCATGAACTTCTTTGTTCGAGCTGCCTAGGAATTTACAATTTGTAACTACGCTACTGGTTTGTGCATTTAGTTATTGCTCTGTCTACATGTGTAGACTGTTTTCTGCATGCTACCCAATATGCAAATTTTAGTTTTTTCGAAAAAAAATTAAACTGAGAAGACAAAATAAAGGATTAAATGTTATCTGTCCCTACCTTTGTAACTCTTCTTATGATTTAGATACCGACCAGGGGCGATATGAAACTCGTTAATTGTTAATTAATTAATGGATTACCGGTGGACATCGTCTGATCGATTAAAACTGCTAAGAAATAAGATAAATGAGAAAAAGTAATCTCACTTTAAGGATGCCTATGACAGATATCTTACTCTTCAATATACCAATATAAATAATAATATTCTATTTATTCTAAAAGTTTTAATACATAAACTACAATTCTGAAAAGAATCATAACAACAACTTTAAAAATCCAAATATTTAGCAAAATAGTTAGGGATGTAAAAAGGAACCAGCATTAATTTTGTGATTAAATAATAAGTAACTTTTTCTATTATTGGTTGCTACTGTAAATAAAACTGTAGTTAATAAATATAATTCATGACTTACGTAGGTACTTGATCCATGTATTTAAATGATCAAAAACATATTCGAACAATTAGTTATTATTACCTAAGTCTACATTTTTGCTAGCATTCTTAATTAATAAAAATAGTACACAATTAGTTTACTGAAAAAACACTGTGACTTTAACAACTAGGGTTTTTGTGTAAACAAAACGGAACATTATTATTATTATGTAGACTTACTCATCCAAACATTTCTAATTTCCTTCAGAATTAAAATTAATAGGATCCCTTACTCGTATTCTCTAATCTTCGTAATTTGTTACGAGTTAATACAACGAAAAAAAAAAAAAACAAAATAAGCTAGCGGAATTACTGTTGGCTATTTTTGCAACAAGCAATTTCAAAAGGGTGGTTTTCGAGAATAAATCAATCACTGCCACTTGTTCGTTGGACGAAACTGTGATTCTCGCATTCCCTGGGCCTTCACGTTTCGTCGATGAACCAAATAAGGGAAAGCTCAAAGCTGATATTCCTTTTTTAAAATACCTTAACTCAAACTAGTTCGCCTCCTTTAAAAATTACTAGTCCCTAAATTAAATAAACACGTTCATTCGCCAAGAAAAATCTCATAAAATAAATTGCCTGCTTGTCACTGTTTAATGAACGTATTTTACATCACAGGATAGACAGGTATTAACCAACAGATATTTGTGAAAGGAATACGGATGTACAATGCATCAAGTGACCGCTATAACAGGTTTCAAAGAATCAAAAAACAATAGCAGGGGAGATGATCGTTTCTTAAACACCTACTTCGTTTTTCTAAATATAATGGAATTCGTTTATTATGACTCCGCCTATATTGACTAACCGCTTAATATAAAGTAATTACAGTGTTTGTTTTCATATTAAATTCTCTATAGGAAAGTTTGGATATAATGACTCCGTTTAAAATGACATATCGTTTATTATGACTGTATCTCAAGAAATCATAACCAACTATAGTGACCCAAATGATTAATAATAACATTTTCGCTCATTTTTCTGACCCTTCTTATGTATATTGATATTACAATTCATCGTTCTTTTTCTTTTTCTGTTATAAATATATACAATTGATAATTTTCACTCTATTAAACTAATTAACTAACGAAAATAGAAACTTGTTTATTTTCTAAGACTAGGTATACTTTGTATGACGCCCGCTTAGTACGACGTGTTTGTCATTTCCCTTCTATGTCATTATAAGCGGATTCTACTTGCAAATAGTTTTTAAACCCATTTTCTATTGTAAAATACTAAGTACAATGTTCGGAATACATTTATCTGAAAATATCTCCTACTGCGCTGAAATTTATCTTAAAATAACCGAACTCTCAAAATATTTTGAACAATGCATGACACCCGCCAAGTATTTTAAAAACTGCATACACTGGACTGAAATTAGTTTATTATTTATATGAAAAGAAAACTGAAGATATTTGTAAGTACTAATTTTCTTATACCACATCACAATTTTCAAAAAATGATAAAAACCAAATTACGCAGAAAATAATCACCAATTACTCCGAAACATTATAGCAACAAAAATTTAATCGCAGATATCTTTTAATTAATTCTATCAACACTCGCATTAAGAAGCATCAAAGTAATGTCACTTTTATTCCGTAATGGATTTATTATTACTTGTCCGTTCTATGTAAAAAGGTTAGATATATATGTATGTATAAGTGATGAGATTACCAAGCTTGCTATCGAGATTTAAAAAAGGACATTGCAAACTAATCCGCAAAAAAAGGAAAAAAGGTAAATAGCAGAACGTATATCTCCGTTCTAAGAAAATGTCCTTTGACGAAAACATCCTCATGCTAAGCCTATTGCTTTTCAACTGAACCAATCGTTGAATCTTCTAGACCCAAAACCTTTGTTAAAAAAGCTTTCGTCATGTGTACAAGATAGATTACGTACTTCAGAATAAATAAGTCTTAATGAGATTCGTTCGTAAAACAATTTCAAATAAAACTGTTTATCAACTAACTCCTATATTTTTAAACAGGAAATTAAATAAAATATAAATATTAATTAAACCCACCTGACTGTATGTCTTTGGGTTACCTTTATTTTAATTGAAACTTTCAAAAAGAGTATTCATTGATATAAAACGTAGAATGTTTATAATAATGTAAACGACATATAATGGGGCGCATATTTAGATACCATCTTCAGAAGTTCTTACGATAATTACGCATTAACCAAATTGTCTAGGTTCGTTTACTCTATTGTAAACAAATTATGATTTATAAAGCATATGTGTTAAAAGATTGTTAAAGATGTATCTACGAGGGTGCGATTAAGTTCGTAGAATGGATAGGTAGGTCATTATTCAATCGGGAACAAATTGTGAAATATGGAGAAAATCGAGTACTGTGGTGTTATGAAGTTCCTTCCCAAGCAAGGATAATCAGTTCAAATCATACTGGAAGAGATATCATCCGTTTACGGGGACTCTTGCCCAGGTAAAACCATGGTTTACAAGTGGCATACCCTCTTTAAGCAAGACAGGAACTTACTTGAAGACGACCCACGGCCAGGTCGGCCTATCGAGATGACCACTCCGGAAATCATTCAAAGTGAAGATAAAGATGGAGCATTGACTGGAATTGTTAGTGAGGTCAAAACTTCGGTTCACCATTATGAACCTGAGTCCAAACAAGATTCTATGCTGTGACACAAAAAAGGCTTATTCCCGCCCAAGAAGTTTAAAGTGTCACAGTCAGCAAAGAAAATTAAGGCTTCAGTCTTTTGGGATACTGTTGATCGATTATAAAGATAAAGGTGTCTCAATAATCGAAGAATACTATGCTTCAATCCTAGAGCGGTTAAAGGAAGCAGTCAAGGAAAAAAGAAGAGGACAATTGGCCAAAGATTTGTTTGGTTGTTCCAGATTGCACGACAACGCGTCTGTTCACAAGGGCCGTGTTACGATGGTTGCCCTGCAAAAGGTGGCTTCGAAGTTTTGCCTCACCCACCCTACAGTCCTGACCCAGCTCCCAGCGATTATTACCTATACCCAAACTTGAAAAGTAATCTTCGTGGGAAGAAATTTTCAAGAGACGTATCAAGCGTATTTTGATGATGAGGATGATGATGATGACATAAATATCGGTGGCAAAAATTAAAGAGCAAATGAAAAACGTTAAAAAATATAATTTAACGACAACGACAACGTAAAATAGGACGAATGCAGAAAGCTTTCAAAAGAAACTTGGTAAATGTTTCCAGAAATCTTTAATACATCTAAACTTCCGTTTCGAACATATTCGACAAGTAGCAAACCAAAAAATATAACCTTCACCCCTTGTTCCTAGTGTGCTGTCCACCTTTAATATATGTATTCAATCGAATATGTATTACCACGGCGTTTCTGTTACGCGTAGTTCACAGTATCGAGATTCTATTGTATCATTCTCTCTACGGCTATAAATTGACGTGTTATTTAGATTGTCATAAATGCATTTTAAAATAGGTTACGGTATGCCAATAAAATATCTATGCTTACTCCTTACTTATCATAGTTTAATAAATAAATAAAGGTTATCATTGTGGGTATCGGAAATCGTAAATTTTGTAACAGTTGCATTACCTACGAAACGTTCATTCCGGCAGGCGATGCAACCGTAACTGCGGAAACTAATAATACACGTACATTAAAGGTAATAGTGAACGAACACACGTAAGCTCTATTTGTAGACGGTTCGTGTTTTCGTAGATGGTTATCGACAATCCCATCACTTCCAGCATTGCCGACTTAATTACATCCGTGGGCTCTTCCGAGAAGGGGGAAATGAACTTATCGTTAGTGATTTCTCGAAAGTTTGAAACTGGAGCATTCCTAAAGTTTTCTACTGTCTTATTTACTTTTACGCTCAATTAACACAACAAATATCAAAAATCAATAGGTGAAAGTAATTAACGTTTTCTTTTTCTCTTTAAAATAAATTTTTCAAAACATGAATTGCGAAGATACTGCCTGTCAAATTTTGATTTGATTAAATACAGAAACTCATCCGTAACACATGGTCGAATTATAAACTGATTCTGTTTTTTTGCGTATTTTGAGCTAAAGAAAAATACAGTATTCTAAAACTGATCTGATTACTTTACAAGGAGTATGTGGCGGTATCATCTTCCTTTTTGAACATATTAATCCTTAATGAGTATTACAAGTAAAAAAAATAAAAATAGTACCATATACACTTCATCACATAAAAAAAATCGAGGACCACATAAAATTAAAATAAGTCATCAAAAAATACATGTGTGAGATTTTACAAGGATTACCTTTACTTATACATATATGTATATCTTCTTAGCTTTATAATATTTAATTTTTGAGTTCAAAATAGGTCAAAGATGAGCCCTTATGAAGACATCTCTATACTTTGTTTCGTTTCTCTAGCGATGTGACCTTTACTTTGACCGGCGCAAAGTAGAAAAGAACAGCACTAGGCCAGAAAAGAAAGGAGACAACTCTAGGCCAAACTCTTAACCGATGAGGAACGTATACTCCGTACACTACTGCACGGAAAAATTGACCATTTTATCCACTAAAAATTGCATTGCTCAAATGTGCTGTTATTGATATCAATTACTACTGAAAATATCAACGAGATGTTTATTTTTATTTGAAGACATATTAAAGGCTTTAACGCTTGTTTCGACTCGCACTACTATCATGATTGAACAAAACTTTTGACAGGTACTGTATGAAAAAGTATGTTTAATAAACAAGTGGCGAGAGTATAATGAGCTTTTTTCTCCCTACCTACGATTTTGCCAGCGTGCATCCAAGACATTGGAAGGGGCACATCTCTAGAGAAAGTAAATGAAGTATACCTTTGCCATTTAATTTCTATTTCTTTTATGATGTGTATCTTATTATTACTTTTTAAAGCTGAAACTAGATCGTCTCTCTGTACAGCTATAAAGGTAAACCGATTGTAACAAATACTTAGAATGAACACAGACAATTAGTGAAAAAATTCTTGACATTTCTTTGACTACTAAAATTCCGTCATTTCCTCGGTTTTATGGAAGGAGATTGCCACACTGCCTACGTGTCCGTTGCCATTAATTTATGACATTTATTCAAAAATTTTATGCAGGACTGGTCCTNAAAACTTAGAACAATATTTATTTAAATCATTAAATCATTTTTGAACTTTTGAACAGTTATTCTATCAATAATTTCATATTCGCTTTGTTTCATAGTCTATAAATGCAATTGTCATGCACTTGCACGAATGAGTGAGAATATAAATGCTACACGGTTAGCTCATGCGAGCCATGGGCGCCTCCGTTTTGGCCTTGACTGCTCTGCCATATTGGTCTTGGTTGCTTTGCCGAGCTCCTTTCCGTTTTAATAATTCACTTTAATAAGTAAAACATAATTTTTTTAATTGAAAATAATAGGAAATAACTGACTTCTCTGCGGCCTGCATTAGACATATACTTAAGCATGGTATCACACAGCCAGTATCCTCATAATACCTATATTGCATATTACGTCTAATGGCGGTTGTCGTAACCTATCGATTAACTAAATAATTGATTATCAATACCTAAGAATGCATTCTGCGAAAATCGCATTCTAAAAGGCTAAATAATTCAAATAATATCGAGTGAGATCTCATTCGAAAATAAGGAAATTCTAATACTGAATAATCAAAATCAGTTTTCGAGTTATAAAAAGTGATAAATGTTTATCGCATAGTTGAGATGGCATTTGAAAGATATCAAAATTCTGAGAATGACGTACGTTCTTCAATTTTTCATCTGAATTACACCTTCGGAGTTTTAAGTTATAATATGTATGCTGCAGGCGAAGCCATGGCGGTAACCGCTTACATATCAATCCCGTCTACGTACTTTAGACACTAAATTGACGTGGTTTTGTACCTACACTAGAATGAAGCCACAAAATCGTATTCTATTTGCAAGCAACGCAGTACTCAGTACCTTAGTAAGGCCCGTATATGACATTTAGACTTGTTTAGTTGGTAGGAAATACTAGCAGATTGCGACATATTATATACTGGCGTAAGTCAATAAGAGAATGTTTCATTTTTAAAACACAATTGTACTTATTTTACCAACGTATTCCGCAAAGGGCAAAGCTCTATTGATTCTTCTTGTTCGTTTTAAGATACATATACAGAAAAGTAATCTGTTTTGAATTCTGTTGTGCCTGTCTGTTTATTACGATGAACAAATGGAAAAGATTTCCTTTTAAAACATTGACATTTGAAAAGAAGTGCTTACAAATTTTCTCTCCACTTATCTGCGTCTGAATTATTAACGTAGAAATTGAGAAAATTGAAAACATTTTGGAGTACGCGAGCATATCAAACAGGGACAGCTTCGCGAAAGCCGTACATAGGGATATACAAATATATACACAACGTTTATTACATAACTTACAAGTGCACAACCGCATCTACTCTATCATCCATTTGGTAAATACTGTTATTTGGATTTTAATGTAGAAAGCTTTATGAAAAAAGTTATTAATACATAAAAACAACAATATATTCTGTCTATTAAAATTGACTGCTCATATCTCCAAATAAGGTAGAACAAACAGAATATAGCTCAAAACCCCAACGGGACTGAAGAAGGTAACTTTGTTACCGAAAAGTGCTTCCGACAGCTACAGTGTCGTATTTTGGCGTTGGGGTTTTGAGCTATTCTGTTTGTTCTACAACAACCGCCAAAGTTTTTCCAATCTTCATATTTCCAAATAAGGTGTTTATACATCAAAAATAGCGTATAATTGGGACAATCAAAATTATTATCTATATGACGGACGTATCTTCTTTCTTGTTTCTTCTTGAGACTGTAATTTGCTGCGTTTTGAACACGCCCTTGTTAAGTTAGGAAATGCTTCATGAGAAGTACGGACAAAATGAAAAGAGATAACCGAATAATAGTAAGCGGTGCGGCAATTAGAGGATGATTAGGTACTCAAAAGATCAGGGTCGGCTTTATAACTGCCTGGAATTATACCTTTAAACTATATTCTACAGAATGTTGAACATGTTCGAATACTGCTTGTCTATAGCCCTTTCTGTTACACATTAATTGGTGGAAGTTATTTCTTTTTCTTTATTACTGTCCGCTGCAATTCCTACCTGGCATCTCTTTTCAATTTTGAGCGTCCCAACTATACTTCAAACTTCTAGATAATCACCACTAGTTTGTCGATGACCTGCCTCCACAACATACCAAAACAATAAGAAACTGCTTTTTGCCCTTTATTATCGTCATTACTTAGACACTGCGTTTTTATAAAGGTTAAGGGCAAGTTAATTTTACCTCCAATATTTTACGAATTCGCAATGACAAGAAACACATCCTTCATGTAGTTTATTCATTTATAAAACGTCATAATCATATTGCTATGAATGGCTCGCCTTCATATCTCTATCGAAATACAAAAGAAATAAGTAACAACGAATTTGCATTAGGTACCTCCTCCGTTATGTCTTAAGGATAAATGACTCGAGAATCTGCGAATATAGCTTATGGAAATTAATAGCTATGAATAATGCAATGCAATAAGTTTAAATTATTATCTGGCTTTATGTGCTCCGTTATTTACAGTACAGTGTTTTAGAGAGTTCCTGGATTTCCTCCAGCGTATCTATATAGATGCACTTCATTTGCATCCTTTTGTGGAAATACCCTCGTCCTATACAGAGGTTTAGAACGCAAGAGGCGCAATAATCACAAATGAAAACGTTGGAATGTTTTAAATCCCTTTCGCTGTTCAGAGGCAACTGCCCTTTAATGATGTCGAAGCCCTTTAATATCTACGGAACCCGCATGTATATTGCACGGCTTCCTTTCATGAACTTTACAGTTCGTTTAATTTTTCGAGAGAGCGAAATCTCTTTATAAAGTACCTACTTACATTGTTTTAGGAAAATTGTATGAATTATTATGAACACGTATAGTTGGGACGATTAAAATTGACAAAGTCCTTAATAAATTATCTGTGAGAAAGGACGTATTATTTTTCTTGTTTTCACTTGGGATGTAGTCTTTGAAAACGCCCTTGTTAATTTAGTAAATGTTTTATGAGGAGACCACACATACTGAAAAGAGATAACCAAATAATAGTAAGCGGTGTAGAAGTTACAGGTTGCTTAGGTACCCCAAAAGATCAGGGTCGGCTTTATAACTGCCTGGTTGAAATTATACCTTTAAACAAGTGTCCTAAATTCCTCAGAATGTTGAACATGCTCGAATGCTGCTTGTCTACATCTCTTTCTGTTACACATTAATTTGTGTAATGTTATTCCTTTTTCTTTTAGTGTCCGCTGCAATTTCTACCTGCGATCTCTCTTGTATGTTTAGGATATTACCTATAAGGTTTATTGTAAGTAAAAGTAAGCGTTCTGTTAGCAACCGCCCTATCTGGTTAATAAGTTGAAAGAAGAAAGTAAATGTCTGATATTTATACAATTATTAGGTACGGACACCCAATTGATTAGTGGTATAACATACAGAGTTAGATAAAGCGCAATGACAGAGACTCTCGCCATATTCTTGATAGTTTACATAGCGAAGCTTTTAAATGAACGAAGGAAGAAGGGACTGCTGCTAACAAATGTGATGAAAATGTGAAAAAAAGGCAAATTTTGAATTAAGATAGATATCCAAGAATTAAATTGGCAAAAAGAAATAACTAATTTTCGTTAATGAGCAGACATATTTAACTGTACCTAACGAAATACTTGCACATGAGAACAGTTTGCTTGAAGAAGAGAACGACGGAATTGTAGTGTGTGACTCTCAACAGAATTTTTTGACTGAAACATTTACTGTGTCTGTTGATCGAAAGTAATTGAAAAAATGAAAACTGTTTTATTTTCAGAATATTCTATTGTAACCAGTACAACATATATATTAACATAGTAGTTTTAATGTACCTATTGTCGAAACCACATAACATACGTGATGTTGTAATGTTGGTAAAAGGACAATGCAATAAGTTCATGTCCTTATAAGGCACAAAGTGTGTAAAAAAGATGCACTTAACATTTCCTCTTCAAACATTTCGTTTATCAACTGCTGTAAAAGCTGTAATCAAACAACCCTCAGTTTCTATTCCCTTAAGAAATTACATGTTACTAAACTCATACCGGTAAAACTTTATTGAAACTTGCAGATTAAAGTCGTCAATAAAGTATCTACTTCGGTTTAGAATTGAAGGAAACAAGCTCGATCCGTTTTATCATTCAATGATCCGAAAACCTTTCATAAAAGAGACACAAATTCGCCTTTTATCTCTTCATCCTTCAATCAGTAGTTCAAAAGTCAAACACTTATTGGGAACATTTGTTTGCACTTTGACTAAAGTTGCTTCTGACATTATTGTTCCAGGGCAAGTAACGTTTCGGGTGAAAGGTCACCGTTCGAAGGCTCATGCTGCGGTTCGGGTTATCAAACGGTGGGATCTACGCCCCTCGGATCTCCTGAAGAAATTGAAGTACCCAAGTACAGGGTCGTTATGCTCGGCGACTCAGGAGTTGGCAAGACTGCTCTCGTCTCACAGTTTATGACGTCAGAATATATGAACACTTACGACGCCAGTTTAGGTAAGCAAAAACATACAATACTGCTGTGACACTTGAAACTTCTGCTATTTACTTAGGTACATTCATATTAAAAGTATGTAACAATTAAGTAAGTTGTATTTTTCTTCATTTCTAATGTAAAAAATGTTTTTTCGCACGCCTTGAGGGTAAATTCGGCTCAAGCGTAAAATCAATACGGGACGACGGGTCGTCCGGTTGCGCCAATGGATGACGTTCCTTGCATGCTTACGCGAAAATGCGTTGGGGTTATTTAACTAACATATATACACCATACAGAGTAGGATCAAAAGAACTGAATTTCTGTAGTGCAAACGGAGCGGTTGAGGGGGTCGGACCACCTGGATATGGTAGTGGGGAGCCTTCTGAAGAGACAGATATTTTTTCCAGTGGCCAGTGGGTAAGCGGAAGAAAGTACGACGATTTCCACGAACCTCTGTTACGAAGTTATCAAATTCTGCGTTAAACTCGGGAAACCCGCGACGGAGTCCCTCGAAATGATTAAGGACGCCTACGTGGAAGATGTCATGAACCACCAACAGTGTTCGAGTAGCTCCATGCTGCTGGTGAAGGAGTTTTTGGCCAAACACAGGGTTACCTCACTCCTCCCATCAGTCCAGATGTGGTAACGCCAGACTTCTTCATCTTTCCTCAGCTCAAGGGATATTGATACAGCTCCATAGAAGACGTCCAAAGCGCTGAGAGGGAAAGCGAGTTTCAGAACGCGTTTTTTCATCCCGCCCTGTACATACATGACATACTGAATCCATGACGCAGTCATATCTAACAGAACATTTCATGTCACTGATTCACTGGTAGTAATGTTCATCTACCACATGGACAGCCCGGGTTCAATTCCCTTCCGATGCAACTTCTTCGTTTAATTTATCCTTACTAATTTATTTATTTTTAACTGTTTCCTTTACTATTTTGATCTGTATAAATCGGAATTTCGATGTTTTATATTTGTAATGCGTCCCGTGACGGCTACTTTTATTCTTTTTTTCTTTTAGTAAAAGAATTGTACATTAACGAGTCAATATTTTTAGTGGTAGGTCACGCATACGTTTTGTATTAATACCGTTAAAATTCTGTTTATACTATAATACCACTCGTGGATATAACGTAAGTGCTAACAAATATAGAAAACCCTACACGTGGACACTATATTAAGGCAGCTATCTACCATTTATTTTATGGCACTTTGGTACGTCACTATTGGATCACAAAGTCATTTCTCTTTAGAAAGCCTTAGAAGAGAAACGTATGTAGCAGATGCTTCCATTTTACCCTCCCAATTTTTTGAAATGAAACTTTTTATGCGNACTTTAAGAAAACTTATTTTCTGATAGGTACATATTTTCAAACTTACTCAAAAAATGGTACTTCACAAATGCGAAATGTTTTGGTAAACTTGAATGATTAAAAATTAGTTTAACTTCTATAGATTTATAGTAAAAAATTTAGTTCAAAACTATGATTTATAAAATTAGATAAATTTCATATTCTTATATTAGACTCACCTTAAATGCTATGAAATAGAACAAATATAAAAAACGACCAAAAAATTAATAAAACAAGTTTGTTTATTAAACTGACTGATGTGGTCGTCTTCATAGCCCTATTATCAAGTATCGACTCTAGTTCTTTGAAATTAGGTATTTTCAAATCGTTTTTTTGTTTAAATGAAACTTATTACAATTAGACATGTAAGAATGAAATCGCGTGGTTTTCTATTAACTAAAGAGCCAATTACTTACGAACAAGGGACGGATGGTAAACGATTAGGTAGGCCCACGTGTATATATATCTACTCAATTAACGCATTACATATTCGATATTTCGCTAGAGTACGAATAAAATTAACGTATCGTACTTTTGTTGTAACAGATACTTATAAGGTACGACTGCGTTTTGCTGGTTAGTTAGTTCTACAATCACAATCTTGTAGAGGTATCATTACACTTAAGGGGGAAGGACCAATATTTTATAAACTAAACAATTTACTTTTGCAAAAGGTTTCGCTCGCGGATACATATTTTGAAACTTTTTTCGTAATATAACAAAAGCATATCCGACCTTCTACATATTTAATTAATTTTTATGTTGGACTTTCGGATATTATAGCTTAGAAACCTAACCCTGCTTTCACACGGACGGTTTTCTAACGGCAACCGTGCCGTGCCGTGCCGTAATTTCATTTTGCTTTGCGTTCACACTGCACACGGTTTTTCACTTCGGGTTTACTTTTGTTTTGATACGTGACCAAAATGAACGAAAGAAAAAAACGCATGTTGTTACTAATGATATGGCATAACCGCAGAAAAACACAAAAAACAAGAAGATTTTGGATTCATCCGCTACTTGAAAACAGACAATTGATGGGTGAATTTGTAACATTATTTCATGAGCTACGAGAGGATGGCTCCAAATTTTTTAATTATTTTCGAATTAGGGATTACTGGAAAGTACAAGTAATAAAAGTTATTGATAGCGATAGAATTGAGTACAAAACAATTTGAATACACTGTTCCCAATATTTTCACAGATAATAATAATAATAGAAAGACAGTTACAAAAGAATTCGAGTAGAAATATTTACAAAAGGGTGTAATATAATGTTTAGTCAAATATATGTTTTAAATTAAATATAGTGGTGTTATTATCCGCCACACTATATAATTTCTTCTGTTAACTGCACAATTCAGAGAGAGAAACGATCCTGAAAACAATTTTTGCCGTGTGAACACACGGCACGTGTGAATACTTCTATACACTTGCTTGTCTCACTGTTGCCTTGCACGGCTACGGCGCCATGCCGTGCTGCGACGGCAGCCGTGTACGGCTCGGCAGCAAACCGTTGCCGTGCACGTGCCTGTGTAACCCTGAAGATGCCTTATAATTGAAGCAAAACGTAGGTTGTTCGTCTCGTATAATTAAAACCCTTTGACCCATACGGATAGCTTGATTTCTTACTTTTTGTTTTTTTACTGTTTAATGAAATTTTATTTAACATATGCTAATGCTGACTCTAATGTGATAAGCTTGCAGCGAACATTCGCAAAATGAGAAACACGAAGTGGCGCAAAACATTCTCAAATTTAAAGTTCCCGTAACTTTATGAAGCATAACGAGCAACTGTAAATTTACGAGGGCAATTATGTAAGAATGAACAGCTTAATCTGCTATTTCACACCCCAAACTGTTAATTGAAGTGGCAGTATACTTTAATCCTTTAATATAATTAATGTATTTTATCTTTTTGGTAACTGATGATTTTTAAATCGGAAATCGTCAAAGATACTTCTAAAATGGCTGCCACAATTATCTCAGACAGCAAGGGACATACAGAAATTAAGCATGATATTTACAGTAACCTGTACTATTTTTCAGGAATAAGCGAAAGTTTTCGAAAGAACTACTTTAAAGGAATTATTTTCTAAACTCTCCTATTTTTGAAAATAGTTACTGAAATTATAATTATAAAAAATTGGTATTATTAGATAATTTTCTTAACTTTTTTGACAAACGATAGCAAACATTCTATAGGGTTTGTAGTTTGTTGTCTGAGAGACTTTCCATCAAGACGGTAATGCAAAATCCTTTAAGAGATATTATTAATACTTATAAATTACTTCAGAGATATTTTTACGATAGATAATATATTTACATTTAGTTGAGGATATTGTGCTTTCATATAATAAATTTTTCAAAACATGAATTGCGAAGATACTGCCTGTCAAATTTTGATTTGATTAAATACAGAAACTCATCCGTAACACATGGTCGAATTATAAACTGATTCTGTTTTTTTGCGTATTTTGAGCTAAAGAAAAATACAGTATTCTAAAACTGATCTGATTACTTTACAAGGAGTATGTGGCGGTATCATCTTCCTTTTTGAACATATTAATCCTTAATGAGTATTACAAGTAAAAAAAATAAAAATAGTACCATATACACTTCATCACATAAAAAAAATCGAGGACCACATAAAATTAAAATAAGTCATCAAAAAATACATGTGTGAGATTTTACAAGGATTACCTTTACTTATACATATATGTATATCTTCTTAGCTTTATAATATTTAATTTTTGAGTTCAAAATAGGTCAAAGATGAGCCCTTATGAAGACATCTCTATACTTTGTTTCGTTTCTCTAGCGATGTGACCTTTACTTTGACCGGCGCAAAGTAGAAAAGAACAGCACTAGGCCAGAAAAGAAAGGAGACAACTCTAGGCCAAACTCTTAACCGATGAGGAACGTATACTCCGTACACTACTGCACGGAAAAATTGACCATTTTATCCACTAAAAATTGCATTGCTCAAATGTGCTGTTATTGATATCAATTACTACTGAAAATATCAACGAGATGTTTATTTTTATTTGAAGACATATTAAAGGCTTTAACGCTTGTTTCGACTCGCACTACTATCATGATTGAACAAAACTTTTGACAGGTACTGTATGAAAAAGTATGTTTAATAAACAAGTGGCGAGAGTATAATGAGCTTTTTTCTCCCTACCTACGATTTTGCCAGCGTGCATCCAAGACATTGGAAGGGGCACATCTCTAGAGAAAGTAAATGAAGTATACCTTTGCCATTTAATTTCTATTTCTTTTATGATGTGTATCTTATTATTACTTTTTAAAGCTGAAACTAGATCGTCTCTCTGTACAGCTATAAAGGTAAACCGATTGTAACAAATACTTAGAATGAACACAGACAATTAGTGAAAAAATTCTTGACATTTCTTTGACTACTAAAATTCCGTCATTTCCTCGGTTTTATGGAAGGAGATTGCCACACTGCCTACGTGTCCGTTGCCATTAATTTATGACATTTATTCAAAAATTTTATGCAGGACTGGTCCTTGCTCGGCAATGTCTTCGTAACAAAGTTACAGCCGCATAATAACTTTTCTTTGATCGTGTCATCATTGTGGACACACATAGTTATTATCCTTTAACCCCTAAAGAAAATTAATTTCCTCTATATAATGCAACATCAAATTGATAAGATAAAAAGATCAATGTCTAGTTTAAGTACTACAATAGAAAAGATTATTCTCAAAAAGGTCAGAAATTTGTGGGAATCCCTTCCTTCATAACAGCCTAAATCCGCTTCATTGTCCCAGCTAAAGTAAGGTTGGTAGAAAATCAGGAATTTTTCAAACACTTTGTTTCTACAAACCTTACATTTTAACTGCATTCGTTTCAAACATAATAGGAGACTTTGTGTGCACGCTTGGGCAATATCTCCCAAGATATTCAACAATGACATTAAATATATATTTCCAATTACATTTGCCATTTTCTTCTAATATCTCACATATCTGTGGAAAAATAAGAAAGAAAACACAGTTTCAATTTCGGTCGAGTTGAAACTTTGTCTGAACTTTGCCTTTAAAGTCGATACTTTCTGCATCGATACCGACGCCCTTTCTCGGAACCCATTAGCTTTTCACGGCTCTTAGGAGGATACAATCTGTCAAAAATAAAACGTGAATAACTGAACGAACGTAACTAGAATAAATTACAGAGACCTTGTCACCTCTTATCCTTTTCCGCAGAGATTTTCTTTTAACCATAAAATCATCTTTTAATGGCTAAATTTGTATTTATTAATAATTCCCGAATAATATCTCGTAAATTTTCACGAAGATCAAACAAAAAAAAGTTAGTGAATGTTCTCCGACGATTAGAGGCAGTTTTAAAATAAATGGTACAACAGAAACAATTTCGAAATTTCCCTAACTTGTAAATGCACCTACTTTTAAGTTCTATGAATTCTCCCTTTTTACTTGTAGCAACATTAATAAAATTAATATTAAAAATTTTGTATCATCTTCTAAATAATTTGATGAGAATACTTTTCTGAGGTATTAAGAAATTGTAGTCAGTTTTAATGTTTGTTTAAACCAAAGATCATTCGGAATTATTGCACAGATTTGGTTAGCTTAGACAAATGTATATTGGTCATTAAGACAACTAACTTTTTAAATCAAGTTATTTTTTTCTATTGTTTAGAAACGGAACCGAGGACATATAAGCATGGCTGCCGTATGCGCGCACCAATCACGGTGATGACCGCCTATGGCCAGACTCTTGTTATTAAGTGACTCCAGTTTACATCATCAGCAGTTTTGTAATTAGCGACTGGTTATGAACCGGTTAGATGTTATGGTTTTTGTATGCTAGATTTCTGATCCAATGGGACTTGTACAAACTCTTGTACAAACTACAGTGGGTGGATCGGTTTGCGAGTTTCGATGATTTAGGGAGCCGGACCATAGGTTCAACCGTAATGGGGGGGGGGGGTTTTCTTAAAGAAAAACCAGACTAAGACAAGTCCCTAAAAGAGAGCGGAAGCTCTTGCAATAGTCAGGGTGGCAGAGATCACGAAGATCGGTATGGTACAATATTGCGATGTAGAAGAAAACGGGAAACCATCACATTATGATTCCAAGTAAAACGTACGTCACAAATTAAATGATGGCGTCCTCTGGGGTAATAGAGGCAGAAACGGGAGTTAAAAGGAATAGAGGCAGACCTGGATTAGCTTACTGTAAATAGTTAAAGATGTGGATTCTTATAGTTTTAGGGAAATGCGAAGATTAGCTCAGGAAAGGAAAGAGTGAGGGTGCGTGTCCAACCAGTCATAGGACTGACGACCTCAGGATGATGACGTATGCTAGATTTATTTGAAACTATTGCTTGCAAAGCGGTTATCTAGTCGTAAGGATATAAAAATAAGGATAATGCCTAGTTCGCTCCGATATAGCTGTTTTTAATTAGGGTTAAAATTTTTGGTATGTCGAATTCCCTCCTAATTATACATCAATTGCCTCCCAACGGTGACGGACCTTGAGTGCTAATTGCCACTATAAAGTCATAAAGAGTTGTTTAAATAATACAGCCTCACATCACATATTAATCTTAATATTATTTATATATTATGGACACCACAATAACAATAATAACTTTATCAGACTACCCTTCTATTGGTCAAATACAAGACAAACTAAAACTAATAAAGTTTTTCTGGATGATTGCATCAGAAAGCTAGACGCACACGAATTTCCAAAAACTGAATTTGTTAAGGTAGTGGGAAACCATTTTAAAATTAAATAAATAAACATTTCATAACTGATATGTGTTTTCTTTCTGAAATTATTTTATCTTTAATTTACTGAAGTGCACTATAAATATATATTTATTTTCAATAAATAAAATCGGTAAGTAGTCGTTAACTAAATTATCGGAGCTGATACGAACGGGAGGGAACTCGGCTAGTACCCGGGAAGGAATTCGACTATCTATATTTTAACCAAAACTACCTACGGGAGGGAATTCGGCATCACCGAAAAATAACGCTATATTGAAGCAGTTTTTTGGATTTTCCGGCTAATTTTTCGCTTTCACGTCTAATTATCCAATGGTGTATATATTTGTTAGATATTTTTCCCATGTCAACTTCAAAGGTGTGACATTTTGATTGACAACTAGACAATTGACACTGGAAACATGGTGATTCGAAATTCGTTTTAAAGATTTCGGAGTATGCGAATTAAAATTCCTAATCTGATTTTCGATAGAAACAGACACAAAAATTATTTCTCAAATAAATATTCCTTGGTCTGTAAAAAATTGCCACTTATACCTATTTTAATGTAAAATGTCTGAGATTATTAACGAATTATTAATATTAATGTACTGTGTTGCAACATTAAGAAACAACCTCAAGTTAGTGAAGGAAATTAAGAAACAATATAACGAAACTGGTTATTCTAGTTAATTAATATTTTACAGGTGATTAATAGATCTCAAATAAACTAATCATTTTTTAAAATTTTTAGTTTTAAATACGGCCCTGTTCAATGTTTCGAAATTCGACAATTACGTGTAAGGTACACTGTGTCATAGATAGGTACTCCTACATAGTTTTTTTCCTAATTTTCTTACTTAGAAAATGTTTTTGCTTGTGGCAACCTAATAAAATTCATTTCAAGTGCTTTATTATCGTTTTAATATAATTCTCTTTTTGTTCCAGATGACGAATTTGGGGAAAGAACTGTTTCTGTTCTTTTAGACGGAGAAGAATCAGAAATGATATTTATTGATCACCCTGCTTCAGAAATGTCGGTAAGTACTTTTTTCTCACCGTCAGTCTCACTTTTTTCTTCTTCCCCTTTCACTTACTTTGTTAACGGGATGTCAATAATGACGGAATTTTTTTTATTTCTTTCAATTTGCTTATTTAGAAATGATGCTTTTGCGCATACTCTGTTAGATATTATTTATTGTAACGATATATAAAAACATTACAAGAAATACATTTTTCTGTAATGTATTAACAAACACATTTTTGGTAATTAATTACAAATTAATTTTACGTAAAATTAATCGAATAATGTGATATTACATCATCAATTTTATCATTAAACAATGATAAGTACATACTTCAAGTCTTCATCTTTTAGTTATCCTTTAATTGCTCTTTTCATATTCCTTAACATTTTCCTGACTTTAAGAAAACTTATTTTCTGATAGGTACATATTTTCAAACTTACTCAAAAAATGGTACTTCACAAATGCGAAATGTTTTGGTAAACTTGAATGATTAAAAATTAGTTTAACTTCTATAGATTTATAGTAAAAAATTTAGTTCAAAACTATGATTTATAAAATTAGATAAATTTCATAAAAATTAAAACTTTTAGGTTACCTTAAATACAATTAAATGGGTAAATAATAAATATTCAAGTCATATATTTTAGTGTGCAAATAAGTATTTGGAAATATTTTAAAATTTGCGGCCCATAATTATTCATTGAATAACAGCACAATTTTTTTTTGACAGGTTGAAAACGCTTTGAGTACCTACGAACCCCATGCCTGTGTCTGTGTTTATTCAGTCGACTCAAAGCCAAGCTTTCAACACGTAGAAGAAATTCTAAATTACCTCTGGCGGGAAGGCTTCACGCAAGATAAAAGTGTGATCGTCGTTGGGAACAAGTCAGATTTAGCCAGGTCGAGGGTCATTTCGCAAAACGGTTAGTAGAGGTAATTTAGAATGACATGAACCTTTGGTTCTTGGTTGCGCAGTAAAAAAAATTGGGTCCGTTTCTACATTTGTGCCTCTCAAAACTTATCACATTTTTTCTGAGACTTCATCCTTGATTACTTACGGCAAATGGTTAAAATCAATAGAATAACAGTCCAGTCAATGCCCTACTAGAATTTTGAGGGGGTGCAGGTAGGATCCATAAGTGGGTAGCCACACTACCTCTTGTGGGCCCCATGAGGTTGCCCTCTAGGGCAAGGAAGGGGCATGCATATAACGCCTTACCGCATTTGCGTATCATCAGGAATGACGCATGTGGCCCACGGGGAGAAAAATTATTGCTACCCCATTAAAAATTTTTGGAAAAATTAATGAAAAAAGTACAATATATACATAAGAGGATAGCGCAGGGTCGTGTCGCCTTTAATAAAAAGAAGTCACTTCTATGCTCGCGAACGGTTAATTTAGAAATTCGAACAAGGTTGTTAAAGGTGTATGTTTGTAGCACGGCGTTGTATGGGTGCGAAACATGGACAGTGGGAGCGGCGGAAAAGAAAAGGTTAGAAGCGTTCGAAATGTGGTGTTATAGGCGGATGATGAGGATATCGTGGGTAGAAAAGGTTAGAAATGAAGAGGTATTGGAAAGAATAGGAGAACAGAGGACTCTATGGAAGTCAATAAAAAATAGGCGAGATAGGTTGGTAGGACACCTTCTCGGATATGAAGGTAGAGGTAGACCTAGATTAGCTTACTCTTCGCAAATAGTTAAGGATGTGGGCTGTTCTAGTTTTAGGGAAATGCGAAGTTTAGCTCAGGATAGGAAAGAGTGGAGGTACGTGTCCAACCAGTCTTAGGACTGATGACCTTATGATAATGATACATATATCACTTATTTGTAAAATTTGTTTGCTCTTAAATAAGACTGAATGTTTTTCGGCTGTTTAAATTGCAATCGTTTTACTGTTGTTTGACCTGATGCGTCTGGTTTCAGTTGTCTTATAATATATCAAGAAGTACCCTTATTGGCTCTTTGCAAATGTAAAAGATTTCATTGAAACGCCGACATAATTGGGCAAGGGAATTATTACTATTATTATAAGTTTTTCTATTTGACCTAGAGTATTTTCCTCATGGAGCCCCTATAAGGCAATCCTCATTTAAGTATCACCGCTATTTTTGGTGGAATTTTCATGAGGAATCTACGGGGAAATCCCTATATTAGCATGACCCTCATTAGCCACATGAGGCCGGTACGCTACATGGAGCATAGCCCCTATAAATTTTAGTCGGGTGTTTACGAAAAGTTCAATATGGATACGATAAAGCCCGCGCCTCTCGCGCATCTGTAGACTCATGTCTTTCTAAACTACCCAAACCATAAGGCATGAAAATTTATCGCACCTAGAGTACACTCAGTGGTGTTTCCTTGACGATTCGCACCGATTGCGCGAACCAGTAAATATAACGTGACACGAAACAACCCGGAGTAAAACGTGAACTAGAAAGAGAAGAAAATATGCACATTATTGTACATAATATGTTTTATATATTATACGCGTAACAGTAAGTGTAGGAAAATGTGGTGGTCTGTTTTCGATTTCTCCTTAGAGGATTCTTGGCCAAAGCAAGGCATATGCACGGAGAGAAGTAGGTTCAATGTTTATTACATTTTTTTAAATATCTCAGCCATCCTGGCTATTCTCACTCTCTCCCCTGACTTCTAAAATTTTATGAAGATTGGAAAAACTTTGGCGGTTGTTGTAGAGCAAACAAAATAGTTACACGACACTCTAGTTGTCCGAAGCACTTTTCGGTAACAAGGTTACCTTCTTTAGGGAAATTTTAACGAACTAAAAGCTTTTTATTAGCTAAAACTAAAAGAAAACATCACTAGGTACACTTCGGATAAATTAGTTGTTAATTTACCCATCCAACGTAATTGTTCACTTTATATGTACAAGAATTAATGCACATATAACAAAAGAGAATTAAGTTTTTGGTTACTAATTTATCGAAATAACCAAATGCAGTTTGCCATTTCAAACTTAGTAGATAGTTCTTATCAGTACACTAAACGTAGTGTGTATAAATTACCGAGGAAATCGAACTTAATCTACTCAGGCATTTATAAGATAAAGAATAGGAAATGGTACAAATAAAAGTAATAAGAGAAATTTAAAGTTGCAGTAAATTTTGGCGAGTTTGTCTATGTTCAATAATATTACATACAGTAGGTCGTCATCATCGTCATAGGGACGTCAGTCCTAAGACTGATTGGACAAACACATCCAGTCATCCCTGCTCTGAGCTAATCTTCGCATTTCCCTTAAACTTCAAATAAATAAATAAATATTTACCGCTAGTACTTTTTACTTTACAGTCTTTGACATAGTCTGCTGAAACTTCATTTAAGTTAAGAAGAGAATAGGTTTTATACTAATCAATATTTAAGACCTCTTCATTGACAACAAGGTCAAGGGCCTCCAAAACGGTTAAAATTTATATAACCTTGACTTTAAAACGGAACATTTAACTCGTAACCTTATAGGGTCTCATCATCTTTCACCATTTTCAGTAGACACCTAGTACATTTTCATGGTTATCTTTAATATTTTTTGATATTTTAAAAAATTAACTATTATACTTTGTTTGCAAAAACATTTTTATGCTTTAGAAATCTCAGTAGCTCCGAAACAGTCGGAAATTATTTATAAATTTAAGAATATGAAAAATTAATTAATTATGTTATTTTATCTTCAAATTAACTTGATCCGAATTTATCCAAACGTTTCTAGTAGACGGTAACGCATTGTAAATAATGAATACTGTACCTACTGACCAAATGAAAGTATTTAGTAAGCAATAAAACTTTTTTTTATAAACAATCACGTTCAATTTATTGTACACTAATATTTTCATGGTTTTCTTTTTCTGGAATTTGAATGTACAAATTGGTTTATTTTATACTGTTGCTGCTAATTTTGTTATCCACAACTTATAAGTTCTCTATCAGCAATAATTTATCGAAGCCGCCAGATGTGAATCGCAATTTCGAACTTATTAGTTATCATCAGCATACCGTAGCTTTAGTATCTTTATCTAACAAGAGGAAGCGCTGTTTCTCCTCACGTTGAAGTGAAATGTATTCAGATGTATTCTCGTTTATCGGAAGAAGAAAAAACAGATTGTATTCGCAATGGCCTAGCGAATTTACATAATTCTTTCGGAAAGTGTCAACATAAAGTATAACAAAAATCACGAATTTTCCTCGTCAGTATCTCCCGCTCTTCCATAAAAAAACGATAAAAATGTACACAGAATTTTTACAATATTTACTTAGGAAACAACTCAGAAAATGCTGAATAAGTTCAAACATCTTACCCGTGTATTTTTTTTTTTTCGAAAGAAAGTAGAAATCAATATTATACATATATTCCATATAATAAGCGAAAGTTAAAATTAACAATTACTTTCATAAAGGATATTGCTTCATAATTAAAAATAACGTTACGTACGTATATGCTATAAAATGATGGATAGAATAATGGCGTTATATATAGAAATAGCTGGAATAATAAGAATAAGAGGAAAGGAAACAAGAAAATTATGGATGAAAAAAAAGTGTAAGAGAAGGGTGAAAATTGAGTGCGAATGTATTCAACATATATTTATTTACGCGTGACTTCGAGAAAAATTTGATCAAAGTAAGGGAAGATGGGAAAGGAGGAAAATTTGGTCCCTTTCATATGCGGATGATATTGCCTTATTGAATACAAATCATAGTGTATTGTTAGAAGTGATAAGGGTTCTAGAAAAAAAGTATTTAAAAACGAAACGATTGGAGTTGAATGTTAGTAGGACAATGTAGGTATACATATTTGGGGTATGTAATGAGGGAGAGTACTAGTAATAAAATGCATACGTAAATGCACAAATTGCCAAGGCGAATGCCTTATCGGGGAGTATATAAGGTAATATAGGGTAAAAAATTGTATAAAAACGATTGAGATAGGATGAAAAGATTGTTTGATGAAATGGTTAGAAGTATTGCCTTTTTTTAGGGAGGAAGTATGAGAGTGGAAAGTGCAAAAACAAGTTGAGAACTTATATAAAGTGGGTTCATAATTTGAATAGATTATTTGATTAGAAGAGAGTTAAAATGTGGAAAAATGGTAGAGGAAAAAAGGTGGTTAAATATGATGTGAAATTGGAAAAATGAACGGAGGGAGATACAAGAAAGGAGGCATGGAAAAAGAGAATATTATAAATTGGTGTAAAAACTAGATACAATAAAGAATAGGAGGACGCTTTAGAGGAGTTAAAGTTAAATCAGAAGCAATTAAATGATTCTACGAGGAAGAATGTGTGCAGGAAAAATGAAAATAAGATGTAGGGAGATAATAAGATAGGGAGTATAATCTGAGAAAAATTCACAAGTAGAAGTATGTGGAATGCGTGAAATCGGCCAATTGACATTGATACTATAGTGAGCCAGAGCAGGTGATATGGAAGAAACATTTGGGCGTAATAGTAAGGTTTAGGGTAGGTAATGAAATAAGGGTGTGTAAGTATTACATGAAGAGGTAAGAAGGATATGTAGATTGTAGAATATGTGAATAATGTGAGTAAAGTTTGATGCGTGTGCTGGAGGGATGCGATGAATGTAAGGGTTAGGATGAAAGCAAAAGAATCATAAATTGATGTGGAGACCGACTAGTTCTATTAGAAGAGATTTTTGAAATTAGAAAGCAATGAAATAAGTTAGAAGGGGGAGAAATAAAATTCAATAAATTTAAGAAGAATGAAGTAGAAGAATAATTTGTGAAAGGGAAATTGAAATTTTGATGCAAGTTTTGGAGGATGTGTTGAGAAGAAGGTAATAGATGAACGTAGATACAGGATAAATGATAGTGACAATAGGGTAGAGAAGTTGAGGGGAATCTTCAAAACACAAAGGGATGGAAGGAAACCTATGGTGTATTTATTGAA